AGCCCACCCCAGTCGTGCCGAGCCCAGCTGAGCCCAGCCCTGTCAAGCCGAGCCCACCTCAATCCAGCCCAGCCGAGCCTAGCCAAGCCCAGCAGACCCCAGCCCACTCCAGCCCAGCCGAGCCCAGTCAAGCCGAGCCCAGTCGAGCTGAGCCCAGCACAGTCAAGCCAAGCCCAGCGGAACCCAGCCCCGCACAATTGAGTCCAGCCCAGCCGAGCCCAGTCCAGCCGACCCCAGTCGAGCAGAGCCCAGCACAGTTGAGCCAAGCTCAGCCGAGAGCAGTTGAGCCCAGCACAGTCCAACCCAGCCCAACTGAGCCCAGGCCAGCACAGTTGAGCCCAGCACAGTCGAGCCCAGCTGAGCCTAGCCGAGCCCAGTACAGCTCAGCCCAGCCGAGCCCAGCCCAGTCGAGCCCACCCCAGTCCTGCCGAGCCCAGCCGAGCCCAGTCGAACGCAGCTGAGCCCAGCCTTGTCGAGCCGAGCCCACCGCAATCCAGGCCAGCCAAGCCCAGCCCAGTCGAGCCCAGCTGAGCCCAGCCCTGTCGAGCCGAGCCTAGCTCAGTCCAGCTCAGTAGAGCCCAGCCCAGTCGAGCCCAGCCCAGTCGAGCCCAGCCGAGCCCAGCCCAGCGGAGCCCAGCCCAGTAGAACTCAGCCGAGCCCAGCTTAGTCGAGCCCACCACAGCCCAGCCCGGCCCAGCACAGTTGAGCCCAGCACAGCCGAGCGCAGCCCACTACAACGCAGCCCAGCCCAGTCGGGCCCAGCACAGCCCAGCCGAGCCCAGTCAAGCCGAGCCCAGCCCACTCGAGCCCAGCAGAGCCCAGCTCAGTCGAGCCGAGCTCAGCACAGCCAAGCCCAGCAGTCAAACCCAGCCGAGCCCAGTCCAGTACAGCGCACGGAGCCCAGCCGAGCCCTGCCCAGCGCAGTGGAGCCCAGCAGAACCCAGGGAAGCCGAGCCCAGCCGAGCCCAGTCGAGCCCAGCCGAGCCCAGCCGAGCCCAGCCCAGTCCAGCCCAACCCAGTCGAGCCGAGCCCACCTCAATCCAGCCCAGTCGAGCCCAGCCGAGCCCAGCCCAGTCGAGCCTAGCCCAGTCGAGCCCACCCCAGTCCTGCCGAGCCCAGTCGAGCGCAGCTGAGCCCAGCCTTGTCGAGCCGAGCCCACCGCAATCCAGGCCAGCCAAGCCCGGCCCAGCCGAGCCCAGCCGAGCCCAGCCGAGCCCAGCCGAGCCCAGCCGAGCCCAGCCGAGCCCAGCCGAGCCCAGCCGAGCCCAGGGGCGGGAGGGGAGGGAACTGGACGCGACAGGCGCAGAAGCGCGCGTCTGGTCCCGTCCAGGCCGTCCCGTTCCGTGGGGTCCCAGGCTTTTGGGTGAAAAGCAAAAGCGCCTGCAGACGTCACCCCACACCTGCAGGCATCACCCCAGCAGGGCCGCGGGGAGGGCCGCACCCTGCAGCTGCTTCCAGGCCAGTCACGGCCACGGCCACGGCAGAGAGCGCC